TTGGTGTTTGTGTTTAGCATGGCTATACTGCTTTGGGGGGGGTGCCAATGGGGACAGGGAGAGGGGAGGTTGTTCTGATTATGAAATACTTGGGACTAAATGTCAAATTAGAAATTAACATGTCTTGATCCTGTATTTCATTTTCATACATGCATTTGAAATCCACTCCTTTTGAATTTGTTATGTTGCAAGCCATAGCATAGGGTCCCAGAAGAAGCTTTTTGGAAAAGAGTAGTGTGTACTCATAAACCTGAATTATTTGGGTCTCCTTAGGTGAATCCAGGTGCAATGATTATGGGTGAGATAAGTTGAGGATATCTCTAGAAATCTAATAGCTTTTATATTGCAGTATGGCTGTATGAATGTAGCTACTAGGTTCTGGGAAATTTTCTAAGTATAATGTCAGCTCCAACCAATGGTGTGATTTAATGCACCAATGCATTTGTTTGTATGCTTTTCTCCCAATCATCCTGCCACAAATAGAATGATTCTGTAATGTTTTAGCTTAGACAGAGGCCCAAACTTGCATCTAACATTTTCTGCAAGGTTCAAATGAAACAAAGAACCTTGACTTAATGCCTGGCTCAGAAAAAGGCCAACTCCAAAAGTGGGAGCTCTTAGCACTACTGCTGATGTTGCAGAAATATGAAGGTCCCAGTTTTAAGATTAGATAAATTAACTATAATATCTACATGATACTATATTACTTTGCCTAAAAAGAAAAGTATTTTGGCAGTCCCTCAATAAGTTAAACATAGAATTACTATATGACTCAACAATTTCAATTTTAGGTGGAAGAATTAAAAAAAATGAAAGATAAAATTCAAAAGAACTGAAACATATATTCCAATAAAACTTAGATACAAATCCTCAGATAGCTAAAAGGTGGAAACAACCAAAATGTTCAAGTGATGAATGGATAAGTAAAAGGTAGTAGATCTATAAAACATAATATTATTTAGCCACAAAAAAGGAATGCAGTATTGATACATGTTACAACATGGATGAATCTAGAAAACATTATAATAAGTAAAAGAAGCCAGTTATAAAAGGTCACATATTTTATAATTTCATTTATATGAAATAAGCAAATCCGTACTGACAGGATATAGATTAGTAGTTTCCAGTGGCTGAGGAAATATGGAAATTAGGAGTAACTGCTTAATGTATGTGGGATTTCCTTTTGGGGTGATGAACATAATCTGGAATTGGTGATGGATCCACAGCCTTGTGAAAGTTTTAAATGTCACTGGATTGTATATTTAAAAATGGCGAGCTTTATGTTATGTGAATTTTATCAGAACAGAAAAATTACTACACACAGATTCTCTTTTGGTCTTTTACCTTCCAGCCTTTTAACTAGTCCCCAAACTCTATAAGAAGGTTCCATTTGCAAATATCTGTAACCTTGTGCCCACTTCTTGCTTCCTAGACCCAGTTAAGGGAAATAAATTGTCATCTTGCCTTACTTTAGATATTCCAGTTCAATCCCTTACCCCCTTCAAATAATAACCTTTGTTGAGGAAGTCATGACTGATCAAAGGCAGCTTGCCATAAAAAGCTTCCAACTCATCAACTAGGAATATCCAAGAGTGGCAGCAGTTTCACAAAGTCACTCCATATATGCTAAAAACCCAGATGATCCAAGGCCAGCAGATTGTATGCCATTTCTCCAGATAAATACAGAAAATGACAACTTGAGAAACTAAGATGCAGATTGCATATATGCAACGATATAGAGAGACAGTCCATGTGCAAAATCTACTTTTACATTGTTTAAACATTTCCATTAAAAGGTAATGTTGTATCGGTCAGAATGAATTATCTTAGATTTTTTTGTTTTATTTAGCAATACAGTGCTCTTGTCATTGGCATATTAAATGCAAAAAGGCAGGAATGGCAGACATTGGAATTTAAATGTGCATTTTACAGTTGCTTTTAAGTCCATGACTCAAGTAGGAGAGGGACTGCTTGTATTCTGTATATTAAATGTACTGTAAACCCCTGGGAGACAATTGTGTTTGTTCTTGATAAAGCACCAAAGTTGCAAAGATTCAGTTTTTATATACTATAAAAATGTACAGCACTTTCCCTTTCTTGAGCACACCTATACCCTCAGCCCTGCATCCCTTAAATTATAAGTGTCCTCAGGAAACTTGCAACCAGGGTATCAATGGGAAGTGGCAGCTCATCCAGGACTAACACACTGAGCCTATCTTCAAGAACCCCTTTCTCTGACTTTGCAGTGAGCCAAAGCAGCAGGCCTAGGTTCTCTCTTGTTGCTTCTTCTGTGCTACTCATTTCCTTATTTCACTGTTCCCAGCTTTATTTTTTATTGATTTTTAGAGGGAAAGGTGTTATGCCCAGACTCCTGATCCCCAAGGACCACCAGGGAGTCGAGTCCGATGCAATAAACAAAATAGCCTCTTCCATGCTAGCATGGGCTCTGTCCCACTCACACCAACAGCATGGCGGAAGAGAGACTGAATTTCGCCAAGCCCTTGGGTTTTACACTGGTGGTGATGTTACTGCTTTGGCTGATCCTGATTGGTTGGGTGAGGGCTAGGGTCCAGTTACACAAAATGGAAAATAACTCCGCCCTGCCCCACAGTGGAGTCCGAAGTTTATCCTCACCCTGCTTGCCCTCTCAAAGGTAGAGGTAGAGAGAGAAACATTATGAGAGTGAAACATAGATTGCCTGCCTCCTGCATGCCCCCTACTAGCCCACAACCTGAGCATGTGTTTTGAAAGTAAATCAAACTAGGAACCCTTTGGTGCATAGGACAACATCCAAGCAACTGAGCCACACCAGCCAGGCTGCCTCAGCTTTAATAAATTTACTCTCAAAAAATGTAAGCATAATAAAGTGGCAGAAGTGAAAGAGAGAAACGTATTGGCCATGTAACATTGAAGATGTGTTCAATTTTAAAAGTATGCAGTGTAGTAGGAATTATGGTGTGACAAACAATTGTAGATGAGAATGGAGTAGGTGAACCCTGATAATTTTTCCTAAGTTTTTCTTTGCAGGTTCATCAAAAAATATTTAGTGATATGGAATTTCATGTTTGTTAATATCTTGAAATATCAGTGTATGAGCATTTCTTAAAACAGTCTGGTTTCAGTTTTAAAACTTGTGGACTTCACTGTAGAAAAAAATTTGTTAGGTATTGGCTTTTGAAAAACAAAGGTAGTGCTGGTTTGTGCAGCCCAGTTGATTGAGCATCAACTCATGTACTAAGATGTTGCTGGTTTGATTCCCAGTCAGGGCACATACCCAGGTTGCAGGCTCCATATCCATTAGGGGGCATGCAGGAGACAGCTGGTAGATGTTTCACTTTCACATTGATGTTTCTGTTTCTCTCCCCCTCTCCCTTCCTCTCTCTCTAAAAAAATCAATAAACTTTTTATTTATTTGTTTATTTATTTATTTATTTATAATATATTTTATTGATTTTTTTACAGAGAGGAGGAGAGAGGGATAGAGAGATAGAAACATCGATGAGAGAGAAACATCGACCAGCTGCCTCTTGCACACCCCCTACCAGGGATGTGCCCGCAACCAATGTACATGCCCTTGACCGGAATCGAACCTGGGACCTTTCAGTCCGCAGACCGACGCTCTACCACTGAGCCAAAGCGGTTTCGGCCAATAAACTTTTTTAAAGGTAGTCCTTCTGTGTTCCTAATGTGAGGTTACAAGCACAGCCTAAGGACCCCACACTCAATACAGTTCTCTGCCACAGAGAAAACACACAAGCATTCATTGATACCACATATTACTTTGCCATTCTCATCCTATCTAATAAAAGATTAATATGCAGATTGACCATCACTCCAACACACAAGATAGCTGCCCCCATGTGGTCAAAGATCCTGCCCCCATGTGGACACAAGTTGTCCACCACAAGATGGCCAGGAGGGGAGGGCAGTTGGGAGGCACAAGGTCTGCAAGGGAGGGCAGTTGGGGGCAATCAAGCCTGCAGGGGAGGGCAGTTAGGGGTGACCAGGCTGGCAGAGGAAGGAAGTTGGGGGCAAACAGGCTGGCAGGGGAGCAGTTAGGAATCAATCAGGCTAGCAGCAGAGTGGTTATGGGGTGATCACGCTGGTAGACAGAAGCGGTTAGGGGCAATCAGGAAGGCAGGCAGGTGAGTAGTTGGGAGCCAGCAGTCCTGGATTGTGAGAGGGATGTCTAACTGTTGGTTTAGGTTCATTGAGATTGGGCCTAAGTGGGCAGTTGGACATCCCTCGAGGGTTCCCAGATTTGAGATGGTGCAGGCTGGGCTGAGGGACCCCCCCCCCGCCCCCCCCCCCCCCCCCCCCGTGCACAAATTTCATGCACGGGGCGTCTAGTGATTTATAAAAGATACAGTGGTTGGCCTTTTCACATCAAGAATCCAGTTTCATTGGAATTGCTGAAAACACATATTTGTGCCATCTAGTTTAATAGTAAGTACTGTAAATATTTGTAACACAGAATAGAAGTTGCTGGGCATCAGCAAACTTTTGCCAAATGTATTTTGCCTGAAGGTTCATGAAAGCTGCAAGATTTCATGAGAGTGATTCTCAGCTGTGTTCTGAAGTGGCACTCCTGGGAAAGGTGAATGGAGTAATCACAGTTTTATTTTAATTAATTAATGAGCACAAGCTCTAAAGCTCACACTGAAGTTACTAAAGTTATAGCTCACTCAAGACAATATTTAGCCCAAGAGAGGGAAAGATGATCTCAATTGCTTACTAACAACGAATATTGTGTTTGCCAAAAAGGAAACAGAGGGAAAAGATGAAAGCAGTTTTCAAGAGCTCTGCATCTCTTGACTCTAATTTTAATGGCAGTGTAAGCTGATCCAACCTGTTCCAGAATAATATGCTTATCTTTGCTTCTTTCCCTCTCACGGAAGACCAGAGATGAAGCAGGGAATAAGCTTGTGGATGACAAAACCATTCCAGTTCCTTTTGCACCCACCCCTTAGGTCCCAAACCAAGCCCTATGCTGTTCCTACCTGGTAGAGCTCAGTGGAAGTGCACTGAGTAGTCAAGGTCTTCACAGGCTCAAGGTCATCTTCATCACTGCTCAGCTTCAGGTCGTCCTCAAGCATCCTACAAAATAAGCAGAGTGGTGTTCATGTGTCTTTTAGAAAGTGTCTTTCATAAACCATCCTTAGATTCATCTTGCAATGAGGATAAAATATTGGAGATACAACCTGACAGCTGCAATTCTGTCAAAGGTGCAGCTAATTATATATTTGAGCTCATATATTTATATCATACTCTGCACATATCGTTCCTCTCTACCTTCTCCTAAACCAAGAAGAAAAAGGGGAATATTTCAGCATCTCCAGAGATGACTGAAGTCTATATATTTTTCCTATTGAAAGTGTAATAAATGAACAGATTAATCAATGTGGAGGTGGGATATAGCATTGGATCTCTACAGAAAAAGATGGTCTAAATCTCCCATGAAAGAATAGGGGCATGATAATAGCCCCTAGCTACCGAGGCTGTTGTCAAAGCCAGCTGGAGCTCTTTAGTTGACAGAGGAAAATGCCCAGTGAACTTCCTGAAAGGTACCTGAAAAATATGAATGGGCTAAATTTTGGTGATGAAATAAGTCCTTCAAAATTATTAATCAAGCCCACAGAGCCTTTTTTTTCTACAGGAATATTAATTCCAGTGTACCTTTCTGTTTCAAAATTTAAGCTACAGAGGGAAAAGTGCTTATTATCACAAATTCCAGTTAATCAACCTTCAAAGAGCATTTTTTGGTGTTAATATTTTTATTTCATAAATATAATCTTAAACCTTGTCCCCAGACTTCAAGTGGATGCTCTTTTTTTGCTGGTCATAAAGGACTTATTCTCTCTCTCTCTCTCTCTTTCTCTCTCTCTCTCTCTCTCTCTCTTTCTCTATCTCTCTCAATATAAGTATTCGATAACTATGTGTTAATTTGTACCTTAAGTGGTTATCAAAATCAATGATAAATTATTCCTATCATTTAGAGAATCCATTTCTGTGTCAGGGAAGGTGCTAATTATTTAACCAGGAGCATGCTTTTGGAATCTATGAAGGAAGTACTATTATTAGCTATATTTTCTAAATGGAAACACCAATACTTAGAGAGGCTAAACAACTTGTTCATGATCACACAGCTAGGAAATAATGAAGGTAAACATGGAACCCATACCATCTTCACCTGTAACTTGAGAGTATATAATGCTTTCCCAGAGGATGTAACTTACAAAAGATGGTAATATTAAATAAGTAAAATTAACAGCAATATAAAAGACTCACAAAACAAAAGAAGACATATTGATATATTTGGATTCAACTGCTGTCTAATCATAAATTCTGCTATATTGAATAATTTATTATCTCTGAACCTCATCTAGCCTTCTCATCTGTTAAGTAGTATAATAATTAAACTTTTGCAGAGAACAAGCAGATATAACAAGACTTGAGGTTTTAGGATGGGTGGGACACTTAGTCTGACTGGAGTATACTGACCTGTGGGTAGTAGTTAAAAATGATGAGCTTAAGGAGATACATTGGGGTGAGACTGGGCCATGTCTTTTTCTAAAGAACAATAGGAGGGGGAAAACCAACGTGTTTAAGTAGGGGAAGGAAATAAAGAATCAGAAGCATAGATATCTGGGAGAAAAGAACATAGATTAACTGGAAGGACGGGTAGTAAGAAAACTGCCACCATTTTAGTAATTCAGGTAGCAGAGGGTAGTGGCCTGGGCCAGGGCATAAGATAGTGAGGATGGAGAAGAAAATGAATCAGATTCTAGAGTTATGCCAGGATTAGAATAAAATGAATGGGAACACTAATGATCCTAACATCCAAGGTCTTTTTAGCCATTCTGATGGCACTGAATTTATAGCATTAATTCTGCCACACTCCCTCACACTAGGCTGGCCCTTATATTTATGAATGTCTATTCATTCTCCCAAGCCTCAGAGACCTATCCTAGGAACTTTGCTACCCAGCAGGAGTTTCTCTAGTGCTCAATCTTTTTCTCCAGTGACAGAAATGGTTAACTACATTCCCAAATGGTGAGGAAAGGCAGGTTTCTTGCCATGAAGTATTCCTTCTGTGTTTATCCCTTTTATCCTTCCTTCAGTTTGTTAGAGCAACCACAAATGATTAGAGAGAAGAAACCACCATGGTTACCTTCAAAGTACCTCCTGATCACAGAAATTACTTCATTACTTGTCTTTCTATATCAACTCCTAATTATTGTTAAAGGATTAAGTCAAGGGTGGGGAACATGGCAGAACACACAAGTCCTGGGAAATGATTTGGTGTAAGTTAATTAAATGTTTGACCAAATAGATCAGGCTAATTTTTAAGTTGGTAATTTTTAGGGCCCTAGAATGATAGTATAAATATCCAAATGGCCCTTGGGAGTAAAATAGTTCCCCATTCCTGGGCTAAGTAAATAACTCCTTTATTGAGCTGGTGCATTAATCTCTAAGGAAATTCTTCAAAACAACTGAAATATTAAGTTGCTTTCATTGCACAATAATGCACACCTACTGACAGCCATTGTGTCTTACATGAAACTCAATGGGGGCAAGGACCCATAATTACTCACAGTTGAGACCCTGAAAATCCTCGGCCTCTGATAACATAGCAGTTCACTTGGAGTGCTTTAAAATATTTTCTCAAACCCATTTCTAGAGAAAGACTGTGGAGAAAGGCTGTTTATCTGAATTTATACAGCAGATGGGATTTGTTATGCTGATAAAGGATCCTCATATTATTTCAGACTGTTTAATCCAAGTAGTCAAAATTGACAATTTAGTCCCAACTTAAGTGTTGACAGAAACTCTGGAGGTGTGGCTCAGTAGTTGTGTGTTGACCTATGAATTAGGAAATCATGGTTTGATACCCAGTCAGGGCACATGCCCAGGTGGTGGGTTTGATCCCCAATAGGGAGTGTGCAGGAGGCAACTGATCAATGATTCTCTCATAATTGATATTTCTATCTCTCTTTCCCTTCCTCTCTGAAATTTATAAAAATATTTTTAAATGTTTACAGCAATGTTACCATTTTTTATGAAAATACCACCTGATTTATATACTCAGCCCTTTCTTTTGTATCAAAATGAGTCCCCCCCCACACACACACACTTGTTTAGGGTAGAAGGAGGTAGATTGTCTTATAACCCATATGGTTTCACCACTACAAAACCTTAGATCTGGAAACCCTTTTGGGGGCACATGTAGCCCAGGACCCCTGTGATTATTCCATCAGGTGAGCATGGGTACCACCTGTCATGCACACACATTCTAGACAAGAAAAGGCCAAGGCCAAGGCCTGAGTGTTTCAAATGGTAAAGATATGGCAATTTAATTTATATTCAGAGTTTATTGAAGAAAGAAAGCTTTGACAAAGCTTCCTGTGATCCTTGTCTCCCTCCTGCCCCCCGCCCCACACAAATGATACCAAAACAAAAAGGACCCAATGACTCAGAGCAAGTTGTAAGATATTCTGTTATTGAGAATCCCATTCTAGATTTCAGTTAAGTGTGTTTTATAAGCTGCAGATGTAGTCTTCAGTGAGCGGGACAGAACATTCCATACCTTATAAGAACCTGGGAGGTGCTAGGGAATTATCTCGACTGCCTCCCAGAGAAGAAGGGAGGCATGTGAAATGGCCTTGAAGTACATATCAAGATCTTTTTGTCCTTTCCTATTCTGGGAGAATCACTTGGTGTTCTGCCAAGATTTAGATGAGCTGTGATTCAAGCCTCAGTGTACATGGCCTCTTTGGATACATGCAGATTGTCCATGTTGCCATGGCAGAGCTGTTCTTCTATACCACCAGACATCCTAGTTAGTTGATAACTACTCCTTATGGGACCTGCTTTTCAGATTCTGGTGCCATGATAAACATGGATGTTTACTAATATTTCATGTCAAATGTGCTGCCCACATAAGTCTAGGATTATCATTATAATAAACTAGAAGCTTGGTGCATGAGATTTGTGAATGGGGGTATGTGTCCTTCAGCCTAGCCTGCACCCTCTCCAATCTGGGACCCCTCAAGAGATGTCTGACTGCCCATTAGGATCAGGCCCAAATGGGCAGTTGTACATCCCTCTCACAATCCAGGACTACTGGCTCCCAATTGCTCGCCTGCCTGATTGCCCCTAACCGTTTCTGCTTGCCAGCCTTATCACCACTTAACCAGGCTGATTGATGGCTAACTGCTCCCCTGCCAGCCTGATTGCCCCTAACTGCCCTCCCCTGCATGCCTGGTTCCCCCTTCCCAACTTCCCTTCTCTGCATACCTGGTCTTCCCCAACTTCCCTCCTCTGTTGGCCTGGTCACCCCTAACTGCCCTCCCCTGCAGGCTTGATTGCCCTCAACTGCTCTTCCTTGCAGACCTGGTCCCTCTCAACTGCCCTACCCTGCTGTCCTGATTGCCCACAACTGCCCTCCCTTGCAGAACTGGTCCCTACCAACTGCATTCCGCTGCTTGCAATCTATTGCCCACAACTGCCCTCCCTTGCAGAACTGGTCCCTACCAACTGCACCCCCCTGCTGGCAATCTTGTATCCATATGGGATCAGCCATGTTTGATCACATGGGGGCAGCCATCTTGTGTGTTGAAGTGATGGTCAATTGCATATTACTCTTTTATTAGATTGGATAGAACAAAAGTTAATGGGCTTGTTTCTCTGCTAGGAGTGATAGGTGTGAGCTAAGCTAGCTATAGCTGAGTCTAAGGAAACAACTGTGCAAGAACTAACTAATACTCATAGTCCTTGGAGACCAGTAACTGTCCTCTTTGTAAAGCCAACTGCCTGGCATGTGGCACCTGAGCACAGTGAAGGGCTCTGTAGGGACTGAGATTCCTCTGTAGTCAGACAGAGCTCAGTTCAAAACTTCACTATCTGTGTCATCTTAGATAAAATCTCTTGAACTTACAAGTTTCTGGGTGAAAGAGGGATCACCTTATAGGATTGCTGTAATTATTAAATAAGATAACTTGTGCCAAATTTTTAGTACATAGGAATCACCCAGTCTTTACCATCTATTGAGAATTTACCATCAAGATACTTCATCCTATATTATCCTGAACACATCA